TTTCTTAAAATGCAACAAATATGTTGTAAAAAACACTATAGTGACACTACATTTGAACAAATTCTACATTTAAACTATGGTAAGACAAATTAAAGGAAACTGAAGAGAAAAGGAGGAACTTTTGTTCATTTCTTTAAAGCCTGTATCTCCTGCTATGCAGATCGCATTGTAAAAGACACGATAAAATAACAAGAAAATAAGTGAAGGAAACTTACTTGTATTGAAGTCTCATTGAGCCTGTTTCAGGCTTGATATACAATTTCAGGCTTTACTTATACAGTATAAAGACAATCTATAAAGGGTAACATTAACTGGACAATTGCTGTGGATGCTTCTAAAAAATACAGTGGCAATTAATTACAAAATAAAAAAGCAGAGTCTGTCAGATGTCTCCCCTAACGTGAGATAGCAACTGGACATTTCAATGTGACTAAAATAAGCACAATACTGAAGAGTTTATTGTAATCATTTGCTATCCTTGTCATTTTGACTATCTGTGGTGATTTCATTGTTAATAATTTTGATAATGTTCCAGGAAAAGTTTCGATTTTTGATGAACTATGGAGCTTCTTCATTGGATATGTCAGTGATAAGTTCAAAGTGTAATTACACAGATAAAAGATTTATGAAGGATGCTGCTGGAAGGGGGTGTATCACAATAGCATCTTGATAACTCAGAAATGAAAGAAAGGAAAAACATGGCAAAGAACATCTTTTTCCTTGATCAAGCCACATCTGTACACCTTAGTCGTCACTTATTCAGTGGCATTCTGCCCACAAATACGACCTTAACACTCTTGCTCCTCAAGATGTAGAAATGATCATTAGCTGCTGTTGTTGACTGACAGGATTAATGAGGTAATTTAAACTGATACACTTGCAGATCAGTGGTTACTTGTGAGTGCATAAAAGAATTTCATGTGGGGAAAAAAACTTCTATCAAGCTATATTATCAGCGCAAAATGCTATCTTCTTCATGAATTGATGAGTAATTTTCTTAGTGTACGGTTATTCTAAAGGCAATACTTGGAAAATCAGAACCACAGCTGCAAGTCACACGTCAGAAGCACATGGAATTGATGCATCCTACCTTCAATCTAGACTTTCCAATATGACATTTTAATCTAAGGCTGCTCATTTAGATCAGCCAAATAATTCTAATTTGTTTTACCATGTTTTTAGACAATACATTGCAATATTCTGCACCTGCAATCGAACATTGTATAAAAGTGGGCTTGTATCCAATTGCTCATTCCATTACTTTTATACCTTAGATGAAGTTTGTAAGACATCTAGGTATAATATGTAATTTAACCTACATTCTAAATGCACTATAAAATATTCAGAGCAAGACATACAATTGAATTTTGCATGTTGTACATTTTGAAATGTATGATATAATTCCCCATGAAAGCTCTGCAAAGAACAAAGATACTGCAATACAAGAAGCTGTTGAAATCCAGAAGTATTATCTACACTACAGCAGGAACAGTTCTTTAATAGTGAGCTGAAAAGAGACAGGGAAAACCAGTGCCTGTAAATATTTCATCCAGTGTCTGGGAGAACTGTGCCAAACATGATTTGAAATTAAGATCTATTTTTTCACATTAGGTAATAGAAGATGTTAAAATATCTGTCAGTGAACCCACAGGTAAAGATTAAATATCCTGTACTCAACAGCTCTCACAACCGGAGAATAATAAAAGATTTTCTCCATCCTGTATGACGTTCAGCAGGTACTATACTTCAAAGATGCAAAAAAATGAAACGAGGTTGAAAGGCCTAACAAGAGGTTTGCACATAAGCTCCATTAGCTGTCTCTATTTTTAGCTTTTATATTCTCCAGAAAAACACTGTGTATAAAGGAACATTTTTTTTTACTTACATTCATATTACTCACATGTCTTTCTGGAATTATTTTTCTTCCAGTGCATTGCATTCCTATCAATGCTGAACCTATGTTTTAACCTTTATTTTTTGCTTCAAAATATTGTTGAAGCACATTTTAAAAAAGGAAGTCCCCCCCTCTCCACAGACTTCTTAGACTTAGGCTCACTAGCCAGTTTCAACTCATTTCATTCCAGTAGAGCTGATTAGGGTTATGACCCAGTAGATGGGGTGATATAAATTGTGCTGGTATCACCAGGTCAGAATGCAGCAAAACTTTAGTGATTAAAGGCCTGCCAACTGCCCCAAGTTCCTTGATGTATTTGTGTTACTACTTTAGCCAGTGAACAGAAACACGAGAACAGAAGGTGTTTCTTTTCACTAAGAATTGTGGGACCACAGAACAAGCTACTTAAAGATGATACCCTGGATTCTTTCAAGAAACAGCTGGATGAGATATCTGAGGCAATCAGTTACAACAAACCTAACAACCTAGGTGGCTAACAAACATAGCTTCCACTTCTTTGTAACCTTTCTTGCATTCTTCTGAAATTAAAAATGTACATAGCAAAAAGTTCAACTTAAAACAATGATGCATTTAAATACACAATCAAAAATATACTGTATTTGTAGTACAGCATTAATACAAAGGAAATTTCATATAATTAGAAGAGTTTTAAGCCTTAGATTGGAAGACACTTAAGCCTCTGAAAGTGAATAAAACAAAATTCTAATATTGACTCTCTTTATATAACACTGACATTACCAACTTTCTTTTATTGAATTGGGTCACATTTATATATTATTTCCTTTGTCACCCTCATTACACCTTGTTTTAGTTTTCCTTGTATTCTTCCATTCTTTTACAGTGTGTCACACGTGTTCGGAATGAGAATCATCCCACCTCCACAGCCAAAATGCTGTGTTTATTTTCTTCTCTTTTCAGCATAGAATAAACCTTTACTTGAGCTTTTTTTCTCTCAGGTCTCTTAGATTCATGTTTTACAGCAAGGAATTGTGTGTGCCACACTAACTGACCTTACAGAACAACTTACAGTATAAAAGTACAGGCATGATGTACATGATACAAAGCTGTGTGTAGGCTATGTAATAGCTTACTAGCTTACATTTCGTAAAATCAATCATTCATTGTACTTGGTATAGCTCCCATCACTACACATTGCCACAGAGTTTCACAGATTTCTACAGTAGTTAACAATATAACTGTATACTGTACAGCAACAGTTTACCATTGGGAGAAAAGGAACGCACAGCTTTCCAGTGGGGAAAAAATAAATCTCTGGGGGTCCCAAACACAACAGTTGCTCCCCCCACTACAGGCAAGGGGTTTGTGGTACATTAATTATGATGGATTGTGAGCAGTTTCCGCAAATTCCAGAAGTCTGTTATCCTGCCCTCCTGGGTCTGTCGTGGTCAAATAAAGTGAGAGTTACAAAGTGAGAGTTTTGAGTCCCAGTTGTATTGTGCTGCCTAGGGACCTGGTGAGTCTGCCTTGCCTCCATGTGTCCTTTGAGCTAAGCCAGAAAAAAAGGGATATATTCTGTGTTGTAACCCACAGCAAGTCCTAAATTACATGCAGTCTGTGTCGTCAGGTGGAAATTGTCCGAGTTAAATCCAGTCCTGTTTTCCATGGTACTGCAATTGCCAGGATCTGGAAAGAAAGAAGGAAGAAGGATCTGTAAAAACAAGAGAAAGAAATATATTCAATATCAATACTGTATGTTCAATATATGTAATATAGTCGGAATGACTATCTCATTAAAGATTATAAAGTGCAATCCAGATGGAAATGTTCATTCACAGATCTCAATATTGTAACGCTTACGGCCGACAAGCACTGTGTGTAAGAGC